GGGGGGGGGGGGGGGGGGACGGAATAGAGACAATAGCATATATAAAATTAAGCAGTTCTCCGTTTGAATGAGTACTCGAAAACAACGAATTATGTAACAAATGTATCATTTAATCGAATTGCAGCACGCTCTTCTGTCACTATCTGGGTCACTCGCCATCGTTCTCATCGCCGCTGACGTCATATGCGCTAAAGAAGACGCGGAGTTAACGTCGCAGATGCTCAGCTCTACTCTCTTTGTAAATGGCGTGTCCACCATCTTGATGGTGACCATCGGGGCTAGGCAAGTACAAAAACCATATAGATAGTACTTATATAGTTTATCCATCATACTTATTAAGTGACCATTGAGTGCAGGTATTTACAGTACTGTATAGCGGGTACCATAACTAGGTCAAAAGAAATTATTGCACGATATATTTAGTTTAAAGCAACACATTTTCAAATTATATCTATGCATTTTCAATGTTAATACCATCGCTTTCATACTGTGTGAAAAAGCTTTTATGCATTTTTAAAATTGCATTACACCTATTTAAAAAAAATTACTACTGCCAGAGAAATACAAAGTGACAATGATATAACATGTAATTTTAACTTTGCATATTACTGTCAAACCATCTATTTCGTTGGGCCAAAATTTCGTGGTTTCCCAACAAAACACCATTTCGTGGGTACACGAATTCGTGAATTTCGGGTACCCTTTCATACGGAGAATTGCTTTGTGTCAAACTTCTAATTGCTTTGTGAACCTATGAATTCGTGGATGAAGATAACCCACGAAACCAACGAAATAAAAAAAAAATCACAGAATGAAAATTCAGGTATTCATAAAATATATAAAATGGTTACCATCCTGTTGTCTAGGTTACCGCTGTACCAAGGGGCGTATGGAGGATACATAATCCCTCTACTGGCACTACTGCAGATCGATCCTAACCGATGTTCTATCAAACGTCCTTCACTACAAAACTCTACTATAGGTAAGACTACTCACAAAAATATTTATGTTAAACGCCATTTATAATTAATACTCAGATTAACAGGGTTTTTTTGTCGAAAAAAAGTACTTTGAGTGAGTGTTAGGATTAGGAGATAGTTGATAGCAATTACATGACGTAGTTTGACCATTGAACATTGAGAAAGCTGTCGTGCATTTTTTCAATATCCAGCAATAGAGTTGGGATATGGATTGCCAGGGTTGAAGGGCTTTTGGTTCAATCCCCGAACAATAAATGCCTTCAACGTAGGAGGGCTTCCGTTCGCTATACCTCTTTAACTTAGGTTTTTACACATAATTTTGTTTTATTTCATAATAATGACATTCACACCTTAACCATCATCATAATCAACAATGTTATCCTCATTATTAAAACTATCATCATCACACAGTAATGTCATCACACATCGTCGTGACATAAATCATCATCACTAGTTTGATCATCCTCGTCGTATGGTACACCATCTTCCTCTTCATCAGTACCACATTTAATCGTCCACTTCAGTTCACCCCTCTCTCTCTTTATGATATGTCTTAGTGGCCTCATTTAGCATTTTTGATTGTGATTTTATATTTTTAGTAGTACTTGATAGATTTTATATTTTTAGTAGTAATTGATAGATTTTATATTTTTAGTAGTAATTGATAGATTTTATATTTTTAGTAGTACTTGATAAATTTTATAAGTACTTAATAGATTTTATATTTAATAAGTACTTGATAGATTTTATATTTTTAGTAGTACTTGATAGATTTTATATTTTTAGTAGTACTGGATATATTTTAAGTAGTAATTGATAGATTTTATATTTGTAGTAGTACTTGATAGATTTTATATTTTTAGTAGTACTTGATAGATTTTATATTTTTAGTAGTACTTGATAGATTTTATATATGTTCAGCTTAGGGTTATGATTATTTTTTTTGTATTTTGTTTTTAAAGCTTAATCTTATTTTTATATGTCCTCTTTTTTTCTTGAGGTGCAACCGTTGTTGCAACTTGTTTGATAAATATCTTATTAATGTTTATAATCAATGATATTTTTTCAATATTTATTGGAAGTTATTTTGTATAGATACAAAGAGTTTCTCTGTTTATTGGTAATTGGTTATCAAGTTTATCTTACTCGAGTTATTGAATTTTCAAATTGTAAAATGACACGAGGTTCACTGAGTTTCGTTTAAAGTAAAACAAACGAGAGTTAGATAAACTTGATAACCAACCGTCACGAGTTACAGGAGGGGTCCTCCCACAACGTTCAGATATTACATCCAGAAAAAAACATGTTTCTCTTTGAAACCATTATTCTTGTTTCCGATTGGGGAAAACAAATGTCATGAAATACGAAGTCACAATGAAGAAAGACGTCGCAAAGTATTGTCAAAGAACGACATATTTAGACGACTGATCAAAGACATTACGCCTGGCAGGGTGTAACCCACTAGTGGATAACCAAACATATTTAAGCAGGTTAATCCAATGAGGTGGTAGAGAGGAAACCTGTAGTGGTTGTGGGAATAAAGTGAGGGAACATAAGTCGTTGTAAGAGTGAAGTGAGGAAACCTAAAGTGGTTGTCGGAGTGCAGTGAGGAAACATATAGTGGTTGTTGGAGTAAAGTGAGGAAACATATAGTGGTTGTGTTGGAGTGCAATGAGGAAACATAAATACATGTAGTGGTTGTGTTGGAGTGCAATGAGGAAACATATATACATGTAGTGGTTGTGTTGGAGTGCAATGAGGAAACATATATACAGGTAGTGGTTGTGAGAGTAAGATTAGAAAACATATAGTGGTTGTTGGAGTGAAATAAGGAAACCTAAAGTGTTTGTGATAGAAATGTGTGTATTTGTTGTCATTTGAGTGATGTTTTTTGGGGGGGAGGGGGGATGCGTAATTCATTCTTTAACGGCATTTAGTGTCTTTTTGTAAAGCAGGATGCATGCCAAAGTTTTGTAGCATGCTTTCTTAATGAATACAAGAATATTTTGTTAGGTATATTATTACATCTAAAGGTTGTAACCGTTACATCAGACATATCATTACATTACTTATGTTCTTATCGTGTGTTTCAACGTCAAAATGTTGAATCGTTGAATTTATAACTAAAGAAGTAGTCATGCAAAACATTTCAAAATTTGTTTATTAGTGAATATTAACTTTTTGTATTTAAGGGTTCAATTCAACGATTTCCCCAATACCATTCAACGAAGAACAAGCACAGAAAGACCTCGTCTTGTCATACTTCGCTGAGGTACGGTATTTCAGAGGGTTTATTTCAGTGGTCAATTTGAATAATTTTGATAATAAACTTCATATAAACATAGGACGACATTCTCCGAATCAACCTGACCGGGTTTTATAATTGATAACATAAAGCTGAATATTTTATTATATATTTTATTAAGGTAATGAACACTTTTCACATTATTACGCGCCTAAAGGCTTCACTTTATTTGATGTTTGAAATCATTTAACAAATCGTAATCGGAATGATTTTTTTTGAACGGCACCAACATTGAGTTAATCTGAAAAGATGTCAATATTCATAATATGCAGATAGCAAACATTATTTCAGATCATCTTAAGGATGTACTCTTCTAAGGTTTCAATCACGTGCATGTCTCGTTTTAATCTGGTGTAACGGGTTTTTGTAATATTTAACAAATTATGATCAAGTTTATTAGCAAACAAGCATCTGCAAAAATATGTCAAAAAATTAGTTGCCTGTTGTTTATAGAACTTTTTTCACACGAACTTAAAAAAAATACCAATTCGGTGGCCATTTTGAAAATGTGTATTAATGTGTATTTCTTGTGCTTCAAAAAAGGCAAAAAAATCACCTTTTTTGACACTAGATCGATCACTTAAATTGTCATTGTGTCGCCATTTTTAATTGTAGCATGTTCAACTTTGCTGTAAATCTTTATAATGTTCAATATGATAAAAGTAATATGCAACAAACGGGAAAATTATACATACAAATTATACATTTTACATATTTAGTGAAACTGAAGCACTTTTGATTTTTGACCCCGAAAAAGGTAAAAAATAACATAAATGATAATGGGACAAAAAATGAAGCTTTTAGTTCATTTAATATTAAAAAAAGTTTAATAGCAGAATTTTTTATATCAAGCGTACAATTTATTTTTATTTTTTTTTCCTTAAAAAATAAGGGGTAGGGGTAACTTAAATCGCCTTTCTGAGTTAAATGAATAAGATTAAGAAATTTTACTTCCATAATTTAAAAGAAAATAATATTTTCATCAATTCTACAAACATTCATACATATCTGATAACACACTTGGAAGAAATTGTATGACTTTGTTATGCAAATGGTCAAAACAAATGAAATCACCTTAAATCACATGTGGTGTTAAATTGGTATCTTTGACCGATCATAGCACGAAAACGAACACACGGACATATATTATCTTTTGCATTTTCTACTATGCCATTACATCCTTTATCCAAAAATCCATAAAAGAAAAAAGGTTTAATACAGGGATTTTTTTGACTTCTCAGAGGTGTATATCCTTAATGAATTAAGTGTTAAATTGTCGCAAACTGATCCGTACTTCATGGGATATATATGAAACAAACTTTCATTAAATTGGAAATACCAAATTGTAGTACACTAAATGAAGAAAAGGTGAAATATACATCATCAATAAAAATATAAAATAAAACTCAAACTTGATAAAACAGGAAGAAGAAACAAATTTGGGACTTTTAATTATTTCGTTTTCAGCGCTCTTTATTAAAATATTTAAAGCGTGTGATTTCCAGGCATTAGCAAACATCAAATATAAAAAAGGAAAAACCGTTGTTTTGTAAATTAATCATTTAACTTCCATCTTCAGATACAGGGATGTCTGATGATCGTGGGCACTATTCATTTCCTGGTTGGCGCTACAGGCCTCGTGGGCGTATTGTTACGATACGTGGGTCCGATCACCATCGTACCCAGCATACTACTACTTGGAATATATGTGGCTGAACCCGTGCTGACATTCGTGGCTCCACACTGGGGAATGGCTCTTCTGTAGGTTTGTCTCAGCATTTTGTTTTCTGTAAACTACATATCCTAACCCGAAAAATTGATATTTAAGTTGTTTTCTATTCATACTTTTTTTAAAAATAGACTGTATATAGTTTATGACCTTTTTTGGTCCCAAATCGTATTTGAAAAAAATATCACAATCTTTCATTGAAAATTACAATTACTGATTTTGAATTTCAAAAACGTTTTCGATACTATTATAACAATAACAATTGCTGTTTACTTTTATAGTTACCATGGTGAGTAATTGAAATTTGCATAAATTATTGAAATTAGATAATGTCGGTCAAATTTTTCGAGATTTGTTTCCTGTTTTTCTCAGATTCAATATAGCACAATCTTGAACAAATTATATGTTTCTGATGTATATCATTTAAATATTATCACCTCTCACTCCTTTGATAGTAAGAACAGTCTACACGAAATAGGGACAAAATTAGCTGAATATTTAATTTCTCCAATTTATGAAATTCGAGCTCGTTATCGTGGAAAATTAATAAAAACATCTTTTTAAATAGTATTGGGGAAGTATTTGGAATAAAAGAAACGGTGAAATGAAAGTTGAATAAAGACTTTTCAATTTTGATGGATTTTGGAGTCAAAAATTATTTAAGATGATTTACACTGCAAGGACAATATTTTCACCCTCAGGAAATAATCGATTGTAAAAGTTTTCACAGAAATGTGTGAACAGACAGTTTTACTCGTTATAATCGGCTAGTTTATACAAATTAAATTGTGATGGGTTCCATTCTTTATTTTTACTTTACGCTGTTGTTGTTGTTGTTGTTGTTGTTGTTGTTGTTCAGTTGTATCACTGAGTTTCAAAATTGATTTTATATATAATTTAACACACGCATTTATTGACGTTATTGTTAACTAAATCTCCTAACATATTGGAAAACAGTAATGTTCACCTCTGCTAACGTAAATAATAGTTTGTTATTAAGGATAACAAAATGTTCGAATAAGACATTGGTCAATTTCATGTCTCTTACATTGGACACCATTATGAAATATCTTATCTAGTCCTGTCGTATAAAAATAGGTCATGATACACTTAATTATTTTAAATTTGAAATAGGAATAAAATGATAAAACATTATAATAACCGTTTGATGGAATTATAATTTTTCCACATCAAAATAAGAGTCTAACTTGTAGGCTGTAAGAGCTACGTGAAAAATATAATTTAGATAAAAACCTCTATTAAGGAAAGAGACTCTGAAACTCATACTTAAAGTTTCATATTTTACATATAAGAAGAGATTGTTTAAAGTGAGTTAAGATATATATATATATATACATATTTGTATAGAAGTCCTCTTCACGTTGTTACGAATGCAGTGTTACCCTTCACCTTAAAGAACAGTAAACTGAATATGCTTGAACCTTTATTCCGTAAAATGCATTTTAGAAATACACCATATAGGAATATGTGTCTAGACACGAACAGCACTACACTGTATCATGCTGTATACACATTCTAACGTTGTAAACAGGACCAGCTCCATCGGATTCATTCTGGCATTCTACCTGGCTAATTGGAAGATGCCTATCCCAATATGGACCAGGGCAAAAGGCTGTCATATCATTCGCTACCCTTTCCATCAGATATACGCCGTGAGTTCCCCTTCGTTTATCATGCATTTCCTGAAAACCCCCATATGAAAACAACTGATATATCGTAATGTGTACTATTTATTATGTAAATATATGCTTTGCTTTAGACAATTTTGACACCCCTCTTTTCAATCTTTGGTGAAATATAGGATCATATAGGAGTTTCCATTTCATATGAGATTTATGAAACGAGTCTAAGATTTTTTCGATTCAGCGAGCCTCTGGCGAGCTAAAATGAAAAATTCGTGACGACTTTCATAAATTTCATATGAAATGAAAACGAGTTTAAAATCCTTTTTATCACAAAATCAATATTTGTGGTGTTTATTCGTGTAAAACGACAATTTTCATGAAACCTTGAAATGTAAAAAGCCGCCATTTTGAGTCCAGTGAGTAAGTCTGTGACGTCATGTAATTGTCCTATGCTTGACGGTATATTCACTGGATAACACAGTACAGTATGTGATATATGAAGGCCAATGAACATGTATATATTTTAAAAACAATAGATAATTATCGAAGAAAATTAGGGGACCGAACACTACTGTGTCGATGATGGTCTAATATAAAAAAATGTCAAACTGCACAGCCTTTTTTTTTTATACTTTTATAACAGTGATCACATTCTTTTCTTTATTATATTTTTGTTTCACGTTAGTTACATTGTTGACTATATAGATACTTAATTACTTGCATAACTACATAAATACTGTAATGATTGTTAGTTAAAGTTTACTAATCGTAGACTAATAATGCTCAGACAAGATTTTTCAAAAGACATCATTGGACTTCCTAGTCAACTATAATGAGGACACCATATTGTTTAGGGGACTGACTCCAGGGCTCTTATCAGTATGATATACATGTATAGTATTTGGCTGCGGGAAATAAGAAAACGTGTTTCCTCGGTTCCATGTGTTGTCGCTATCATATCTTTCTGTTATACTCCACTATACGGATCCTGATTGCCTCTTGATGCTAGTGTATATATCTCTGTTACTCTACTATACAGATCCTGATTGTGTGCTGATGCTAGTGTATTTATCTGTGTTACTCTACTATACAGATCCTGATTGTGAGTTGATGCTAGTGTTTATATCTCTGTTACTCTACTATACAGATCCTGATCATGTGCTGATGCTAGTGTATATATCTCTGTTACTCTACTATACAGATCCCGATTGTCTCTTGATGCTAGTGTATATATCTCTGTTACTCTACTATACAGATCCTGATTGTGTGCTGATGCTAGTGTATATATCTCTGTTACTCTACTATACAGATCCTGATTGTGTGCTGATGCTAGTGTATATATCTCTGTTACTCTACTATACAGATCCTGATTGTGTGCTGATGCTAGTGTATATATCTCTGTTACTCTACTATACAGATCCTGATTGTGTGCTGATGCTAGTGTATATATCTCTGTTACTCTACTATACAGATCCTGATTGTGTGCTGATGCTAGTGTATATATCTCTGTTACTCTACTATACAGATCCTGATTGTGTGCTGATGCTAGTGTATATATCTCTGTTACTCTACTATACAGATCCTGATTGTGTGCTGATGCTAGTGTATATATCTCTGTTACTCTACTATACAGATCCTGATTGTGTGCTGATGCTAGTGTATATATCTCTGTTACTCTACTATACAGATCCTGATTGTGTGCTGATGCTAGTGTATATATCTCTGTTACTCTACTATACAGATCCTGATTGTGTGCTGATGCTAGTGTATATATCTCTGTTACTCTACTATACAGATCCTGGTTGTGTGCTGATGCTAGTGTATATATCTCTGTTACTCTACTATACAGATCCTGATTGTGTGCTGATGCTAGTGTATTTATCTCTGTTACTCTACTATACAGATCCTGATTGTGTGCTGATGCTAGTGTATATATCTCTGTTACTCTACTATACAGATCCTGATTGTCTCTTGATGCTCGTGTATATATCTCTGTTACTCTACTATACAGATCCTGGTTGTGTGCTGATGCTAGTGTATTTATCTCTGTTACTCTACTATACAGATCCTGATTGTGTGCTGATGCTAGTGTATATATCTCTGTTACGGTACTATACAGATCCTGGTTGTGTGCTGATACTAGTGTATATATCTCTGTTACTCTACTATACAGATCCTGATTGTGTGCTGATGCTAGTGTTTATATCTCTGTTACTCTAATATACAGATCCTGGTTGTGTATTGATGCTAGTGTATATATTTCTGTTACTCTACTATACAGATCCTGATCATGTGCTGATGCTAGTGTATATATCTCTGTTGCTCTACTATACAGATCCTGGTTGTGTGCTGATGCTAGTGTATATAATTATCTCTGTTACTCTACTATACAGATCCTGGTAGTGTACTGATGCTAGTGTATTTATCTCTGTTACTCTACTATACAGATCCTGGTTGTGTGCTGATGCTAGTGTATACATCTCTGTTGCTCTACTATACAGATCCTCATTGTGAGCTGATGCTAGTGTATATATCTCTGTTACTCTACTATACAGAGCCTGGTTGTGTGCTGATGCTAGTGTATATATCTCTGTTACTCTACTATACAGATCCTGGTTGTGTACTGATGCTAGTGTATATATCTCTGTTACTCTACTATACATATCCTGGTTGTGTGCTGATGCTAGTGTATACATCTCTGTTGCTCTACTATACAGATCCTGATTGTGAGCTGATGCTAGTGTATATATCTCTGTTACTCTACTATACATATCCTGGTTGTGTGCTGATGCCAGTGTATACATCTCTGTTGCTCTACTATACAGATCCTCATTGTGAGCTGATGCTAGTGTATATATCTCTGTTACTCTACTCTACAGATCCTGGTTGTGTGCTGATGCTAGCGTATACATCGCTGTTACTCTACTATACAGATCCTGGTTGTGTGCTGATGCTAGTGTATATAATTATCTCTGTTACTCTACTATACAGATCCTGGTTGTGTGCTGATACTAGTGTATATATCTCTGTTACTCTACTATACAGATCCTGGTTGTGTGCTGATGCTAGCGTATACATCGCTGTTACTCTACTATACAGATCCTGGTTGTGTGCTGATGCTAGTGTTTATAGCTCTGCTACTCTACTATACAGATCCTGATTGTGTGCTGATGCTAGTGTATACATCTCTGTTACTCTACTATACAGATCCTGGTTGTGTGGTGATGCTAGTGTATATATCTCTGTTACTCTACTATACAGATCCTGGTTGTGAGCCGATGCTAGTGTATATATCTCTGTTACTCTACTATACAGATTCTGATGATGTGATGATGCTAGTGTATATATCTCTGTTACTCTACTATACAGATCCTGGTTGTATGCTGATGCTAGTGTATACATCTCTGTTACTCTACTATACAGATCCTGGTTGTGTGCTGATGCTAGTGTATATAGCTCTGTTACTCTACTATACATATCCTGATTGTGTGCTGATGCTAGTGTATATATCTCTGTTACTCTATTATACAGATCCTGGTTGTGAGCCGATGCTAGTGTATATATCTCTGTTATTCTACTCTACAGATCCTGGTTGTGTGCTTATATCTCTGTTACTCTACTATACGGATCCTGGTTGTGTGGTGATGCTAGTGTATATATCTCCTAGTGTATATATCTCTGTTATTCTACTCTACAGATCCTGGTTGTGTGCTTATATCTCTGTTACTCTACTATAAAGATCTTGGTTGTGTGCTGATGCTAGTGTATATATCTCTGTTACTCTACTATACAGATCCTGATGATGTGATGATGCTAGTGTATAGATACCCTTTACTCTACTTTAAAGATCCTGATTGCGATCACCATCTCCTGGTTGGTCAGCCTTATAATAACAGAGGCGGGAGGCTTCACGGACGACCCAAAGAACAAAGGGTACCTGGCCAGAACTGACGCCCGACTCGGCACCATCACTAGTGCTAAATGGTTCTTCTTTCCATATCCAGGTCAGTGTTTTGCTCGAGTCAACGGAAACTCGAACCATATTTATAATCTTAAATGATGAATAAAACCCCCTGATGGGGAATATCACGTTTTAACCTTTATTATGATAAATAGATACTTAAAATGACCAACATTTGCATTTATATTTTTGGAACACCTTGTCTCACCTGATGTTTCCGTTAACCTTATGGTGTTGCTTTGATTTTTGTTTTTCTCGAGTTTTGTTATCGGTCCTAAAGAGATTCATAAGACGAGGCTATAGTGTATAATCGTTCATATGACAAGCTTTAGGTTCAATAAGCCCCCTAAAAGATGCTGTAGTCACCTAAAATGTCATCCCCCTGATAAGTCATGTTCAAAGACCGGAAAAAATCATTGAATGTTAAGAAAGGACATTTTATATGAAGTTCAAGTAGTGCTTATGATCAAAGGTCTATGGTTTTACACATATATACTGGTAAAATATGTTACGCGGACGTTTTACTATGATATTTGTACTTGTGAGGCCGGTATACCTCTCAACACATAGTTAAAGAGAAATGCCCCGCATGACCTAGGTATATAAATGATCTTCAATAAACATGTCATTTCGTAACATTCAGTTGGATCGCTTAAGAGATTGACATGAAATAAATCTGGTGAGCAACTTTTATCATTACATCAGCCTTAATGCCGTATTTTGACTTCGTTAAGTTACATATAACCTGGTTATGTACCTTTAATAGCTCATGTACAAGTTCAATATATCTAAATTACATATATTTATTCTGATTTTTTATAAGGGTATTTGAATATGACTTGCCAGGGGGTTGAATTTTAGGGTGACAATTACATGTTACATGAGCTTGTTGAACCTTAAAGTGAAAATATATAACGAGGACGGAATAACATATTTCACCATAACAAGGTTTGAATATATGTATATGTCGACATGACAAGGATATGATTACATATCTCGACATAACGAGGATCAGAGTATATTATCATCTCTATATATTGAAGATATATATCTCGACAAGAAGTAAGATAAGAAGTAACATATCTCGACATAACTGGGGTTAGGATATAACAAGCATGGAGTTATATTTCGACATTACTAAGTTAATGTATCAGTTTATCGACATCGCGAGATTAATGTGTACATATTTCGGTATTACGGAATATACTTCACAACTATTGCTATCACCATCTGTTGCATTTCACAGTCGTCATTTTATCTAACACATATTCTTTGTATGCATGCAATCCATCTGTATTTTTGTGATATTGCCGCGAAACAGTCGACCCGATAATTGCGTTTATGTTTCAGGATTACACGGGTCTCCCGCCTTTAGCTCAACAGTCTTTGTCGGCTTTCTCATTGCCACCTTCATTTCTATCCTCGACTCCATCGGAGATTACTACGCATGCGCAGCAATATGTCGCGTTCCACCTCCTCCGTCGTTTGCCGTTAATAGGGGTATAGCTATTGAAGGGTTATGTACTGTTCTGTCAGGGGTACTTGGTTGCCCCCAAGCAACGACCACATATGGAGCGAACATAGGAGCTATTGGCGTCACAAGGGTTGGTAAATAAGCATGCGTTTATCAAGAGTATGTCATATGTAACATATATAACCAGCATACGGACAACTACTGGTCTTGTCCAAAAATGTCGTTCTTTAATTAGTCATCATAGAAATTTGTTTAAGAAATCTATTAATAGCTTCTGCATCTCCAGGTATCATGTTTTCATTTCGCTGAAGAATCCCCGTACCACTGTACAAATTGCAAACAATGCATTTGAAACTGTTAAATCAGTTCTTAAAATAGAATAAATCATGCGGAACTTTAACGAAGAAAATACAACACTAGCGTTCTGAATGTCAATATGCAACGAAGTCAGACTAGTATTCGAACCCAGAACATCCTATTATTATACTGTTCTCTAACCACCTGCTGGTCAACAGTATGACCCTAGCCCAGCCGGGATATAGTTACCCGTCCCTAACTGACCATAGTTGTTGATAGGACGTTAAACAATACTAAACCAAACCAAACTATAGTTACATTCAGAACGATTGCAAAGGGAGGTTAATCTTTGTACGAGAAAAAATGCATTGGAATTCGGTGATTTTTGACAGGGATCCTTATTAAGAAGTCAAGTTCATCAGTTTTAACTTATATCATAACTTAATCGAGAGATCACCTCTATAATTGAGAATATAACCTGTATAAGGACGACAGTATGTTGACTATCATTATCATTTCGAATAAGACGATGGAACTACATGTATCTTATTTTTGTTGTAGGTTTCCAGTCGCAGTGTATTTATTGTGGTAGGGGTTGTCTATATCATCTTCGGGGTAATAGGAAAATTGTCTGCCGTTTTCATTTCTATCCCCTACCCCGTCCTTGGCGGGGCACTGATCATCATGATGGGCATGTTTAATGGAGTAGTGTTGTCTAATCTGGTCAACGTCGATCTGACGTCCTCCCGAAACCTTGCAATCATGGGGGTCTCTCTCCTCATGGGCCTCCTTGTACCACTCTGGGTTAAAACCTATCCCAACGACATCGACACAGGTAGGTTACTTTGTCGCACTAAAAATGAGTACTTAGTATAATTTTGTTATGCAATCCTATACGTGGTTGATAAAGCGACTAAATAAATATATTTGATAATAAAAATAAGTTTATGTTGAAAAGAATAATCTCCTAGCTCGCGTTTGTCAATGGAGTTGTAATTCTAAATATCTCATCTTTGATACTCAAGGGGTTACGCTCACTTACGCCCTCTGCACCCTTATAATATGTCATAGCAAAATTGAAGGCACGAAGATAGTTGTTTGATTGGTAAAAAAAGACTGACCAATCGCTAGGCTGATATCTGTCCTTTGAAGATTACAAAGGAGAGACGCCCGACTTCAAAGCCTGTCAGGGGTGCAGAGAGTGAAAGTGAGCGTAACCCCTGGATTTCGAGGATGATTCCGTTCCGTGGGTGCAAAGAGCGAAACTGTGTGTAACCCCAGGATATCGAGGAGAAAAATATCTCTGCATCTACCAAATTAATGTTATGTTAAAAAAGGATTTTCAATATCCATCAGTGTATGGGTGACGCCTTCCGTATTGGTTGTCAGCTCACATGACTTGACATGTCGTGTATGGTATTTTAAATGTATGTTTCTTGCAAAACGGACTTCGTCTGCACGACATTTCAAGGAGAAAAAACTTATTTTAAAAGACGAACATTCAAAATATTGACTTTCAATTTATGGTTATTCCTGAAAATTTACCACCAAACAAGAAAATACAAACATAGCTTAATATTCCTCATATGATCCCCCTACCAAGAGCTGTTCAAATCATTTTGCTATTTTCATTTCCAACAGTTTGTAATTTGATGTCCCCATATTTTCGTCCATCCTTTGGTGCCAGACATCTTCGATATCCAGGGGTTACGCTCACTTTCGCTCTCTGCAGCCGTGGCTCAGTGTAAACCGCCATGTGGATGAGACGAGAAGGCTAGTTCGATCCTTTGATTAACATCAAAATAATATCGCGATCACCTAACGGTAAAAATTGACAGGCTTTGAAGTCGGGCGTCTCTCCTTTTTTAATCTTCAAAGGACAGGTATCAGCTATCTTCGTGCCTTCAATTTTGCTATGACATATCCCAGGGGTGTAGAGAGCGAAAGTAAGCGTAACCCCTTGATATCGAGGATGGGTGCCAGGGGAAAATCGCACTGACGCTTTTTTACGCAAGTGTGAATTTCCCCCGAGGCTGATTTTCTTTATCCTGTCAAGAATGTCTACAATATCAAATGTTGAAAGTGTATTTATACTCTTGACGCTGTGATTCGTACATGTAGTTTCAACATATTACATAGCATATATCCTGTATTAGATTTGAATTGTTATATACTTAAAAAATCGTATTATCATTTTGTTTATTATCACATTCCACAGGGAACACGGAAGTGGATTTCATATTGAAAGGACTTTTAGGAAATCCGAACTTTTCTGGAGCAATAATAGCTTGTTTTCTGGACAACACAATTCCAGGTATTGTAACTAAATGTAATCTGCAATATAAGATGTAGCATGAAGTAGGATGCAGATCATAACATCAATAATTAACCTCGATTGTTAGAACAAAGGCATTTTAATCAAGTGAACATGCCTGTTTACCGAAGAGCGTATAGTACCAATTTCAATCTTTTTATCACGTTTTTCATGACTTGGTTTATTTTGTTACCGTCTTCCATGTTCCCGTTTCATTTTTTATGGTAAAACAGAACATACTTTCGTTAGTGATTTTGCAATTTTTAACTTTAACGGGAGTGGGTCGAAATGGGCTGTTTAGTTATAATACAGAGACTGACATTTTATTGATTAATGAATGTATTTACACTGTTGTTCATGCTCAATACGGAAGTTTATTCTACCATGAACAAACAGAATATATGGCAGTGCGTTTTATTGCTCGTTCAGTCGTGACGTCAAGATAGCGCAATACAGCAATGGACTATTATACATTATTATACATTGTTTGACTTTTAATTGTGTATTTGCAGACACATTAAATCAGTGATGTAAGTGGTAATAATACTTTTAGATAAATTTTCATAATATCATATCAATGAAAATAATGTAAATGCATATGGATGTCAACATCTTGGATAATCATCCGGGTGTCAAATACACCAACATGCAAACATTTTTCTAAATAGAACTCGAAATAAGTGTTGACGTATGGGATCCCGTTTACATAATATTTAGTTTCCGATCAAGCACTGCAAGTTCGTGTTCATATTAGCTATCAAGGAAATTTTTTAAGAATACGAGAAAAAGGTCATTAAAATCAGGGACGTATAATGGATATATAATCTATATACTGTCCCTGTTACAATATGTTGGAGATATGAACAAGATGGCAAATGAAATAATGGGAATTATATCGGAGTTTTACTGTACTGTATGCTTTACCAAATGTCAATGTGCAGTCAACTGTGTGTGTGACGTTCATCTCTTTGACATAAAACGCTTAAGCAATTAATTATAACCGCCCACCCTTTTTAACATTAACAGGAACATTGGAGGAACGAGGAATCACAGCCTGGCAGAACAACGAAGGGGGCGAGTCGGGGGCGACTACTAACTACGTAGAAGGGATAGAGTTGTATGACACCTGGCTACCTGAATCCATGAAAAACTGGAAAGGCTTGGAATATATCCCATTTATGCCTACCCCAAAGAAACGAAAAAGGAGCCTGTCTGGTCAATGGGCAAGAAGGAAGTCGATTATTGCTGGTGTATCTGATGTAATGGTGTAAAAGTCAAATACAATTGGCATTATATATATAGTAATTAAATCAAGAAAAAATGTTAAAACAGAGTCAATAGAAAATCGTTAAAAGCTTTTGATTATGTATCCGAGAATGGTTTCACATTTTTGGAGAAATAAGTCTCTATATGTATTTACCAGTTAAAATGATGGCTAATGTCAAATGCGTATATAAACGAAACTTGAAGTTTAGTTTGAAACTTACCCTTTCGATATAACAAATTATAATCGGCCAGTCATTAACTCAAGCATTATCAATACATGTGTTTCTCAGTACTTATCACGATATACTCCCCTACATATACATATATCGTTATATCTACATTATTCACGTGTTTCCTAACATATCATTTAAAGACCTAATTACTTCAGAATTCATTGGAGATCGTAAAAGAGGGGTCAGTTTACATTGCTTTCCAAAATCCATTCAGATGGCTGCTGTATCGGTGGTTGTTTACGGCCTTAACTGTGGTGAGGATTTCTAATATTTAAAGATTTAAACATCAATATCAATGACATTATATAATTAGGTGAACATTATTAAGGCGATAACAAGGAAGACAGTTTACAACCGTTGCAGTCCATTACATGTTTCATTGTAAATAAAATTGTGCAATTTTTATCATTATCTTGAAAAGTTCATTTTCCCATGATCACACCATTGATGGTCTCGTATAAATGTATGATATTTCGTATGAAAACTGTCTTCTTGATATGTAAACAGTATATGCCAAATGTTTCACAATTTGTAAATAAGAAATGCTTTTCATGTACATTAAAAACATTATATGATGACAATTATCTGCTTTGCTTTTAATTATAAAGATAGGGAAAGATGTAAAATATGATACAGTGACATTTGCCTTTGAATGCAAGAAACCTCAAATACAGTCGCGTACATTATTGTTGACTACCGTTTGGCCCCTAGCAACAGCTGTATGAGGCAGTATAATTAGTTTTGAGCATAATAGTATTGTCTCTATTACCAATTTTAAAGGCGCAACCACTAGACTTAGTGTATTACGATTATCTTCCATGAGAAATAGTTTAATACATATCATCAGTTAGCATGCCTGAATTAAAATTGAAAGATACAAAACTCGAACTATTATGCAGAGTACGACTGCTATTGAAAAACACATTATAGATACAGATATAAGAAGACTGGCCCATTGCCAGATTGTCTTTGGCACTATAGACAGTAAAAAGTTATTTTAGACGGTAACGTGTACTTTCCCAACATTACGCAGGGAAATCAGGTACTCCAACAATGTAAGAGGTTTTACAATCAATCAACTTTATTGCATTTTTACATCCAATTTACAAGGATCGAGCTGCAAACATCAAACAAACATTGATACTGTATAATGGACAGCAAAAACTACAAACTTATGCATTCTGCAAGCCTGCCTTCCTCAGTTCAAATGACTTTTTAATAAAGAGGCTTATTTCCTGCAAAAGCTGTGGGTCATTAGATGACAATAATAATATTAAATTTTGTAGATCAGGCAATGCGCGGCGAAAAACTTTTGACAGGCGCCGCGTAACAGTCGCAGTTTGTCGCAGTCGGCAACATCATATCCGATAGAAAAAAAGGCCGACCAGAGGCCTCTCATGTTATAGGAGTAGGAAATCAGGATGCACGGCAGATCAGGCAGTCCAGAAATACATTACATGTAATGATTGTATGAGAAGTAGCAACTCTAAATCAACTTATTAAGCAGTTAATAAAGCCCCATTGCATTGTTTAAAATATGCTTCTTGTTGAAAAGTCAATGTCGTATACACCAAATGTATTATACAATATCATGCATATATATGTGTGTTTGAAATAATACTACAAGCCTTCATTTAGTTAGCTTCATTTTGTGTTTAATATTTTCAAACGTCAGAACAAAATCATTTCAATTTGTCAAATATATTTATTTGGAATGGTTAATTATGTTGAGATCATGTATTCAGGGTAAAAACCAACTCTCTCTCTCTGACACAGTTACATCTATATCAATATATAGCACTAACACCTATCATATCCAACATTTCCTCTTAAACTACTCATATTGATATGCAGTGAATTCACCACATACATTGTACCTATTGTTGAATACTGTTTTAACACACTTCAAGCATTTTCTTCATCAAAGCACATACACGTTAACCGTTAAAAAAATAGAACAATTCTAGTGAAAAATATTTATTACACACATTGAGCATGGTTCTCTGCATATCTAAGGCACTTTTCATAATCATTAAATTGAAAATTGGACGAAAGAAATATCAATTAGAGAACCAGAATACGAGATAAAATAGTATTAAAACATATCAACATTTAGTCTTTCTTTTCTATAGTCATTGTTACGCTTATTGCAGCTGTTTTTCAAACAAGTAATATTTTCAGCCAGTTGTAACTTGAGAATACCATGAGAGGATTGGCAACAAGATTGATTAAAATAAGCCAGTTGTAACTTGAGAATACCATGAGAAGATGATTGGCAACAAGATTGGTTAAAATAAGCCAGTTTTAACTTGAGAATATCATGAGGGGATTGGCAACAAGATTGGTTAAAATAAGCCAGTTGTAACTTGAGAATACCATGAGAGGATGATTGGCAACCAGGATTGGTTAGAATAAGCATGTGAACTAAGTAACTTACTAAGTTAGATGTTTCTTTACATTATTCTTTACATTTGGGCGAACGATAGACACATCAATGATTTATGCAAAACTGATTCCATTGGTCCATCATTTACTAAATTGATTTTGTGTATTTCAATTTCATTTGAGATTTAGGCTAACAACTGCAATTCTCTTTTCCTTATTGGAGAGTAACTCTTCATTTATACAACACTAAATTGTCTAGCTCCAGGTATAATCAATTCCAAATTTTGTTAAAGTACATTCACTAATTCCTCATGAGCAGTTTCTTTTTAAATATTTACTTCGTCTCATTCTCCTATTGGACTCTGAATTTCAACATCTCGAATGGCGTGAACATTCTCCTCTTATACAACATTGAATTGAAATAAACTTCACCAGTTCTCGTTGAGTATTTCCAATTGGACCCCAGCCCTCTGCTGTACAACTACTACCCCCCCCCCCTGAACTCCTTTAATTCATACAACAATTTATTAACCCTCTAGACACAGGATTACTTCATACCTTTTAGTTATTTTCTTCGTCAATCTGGTCTAGTAGAGTTAAAGTTAATGACACATGGATGAAGGATAATGCGCTTTGGCAATAACTCACTTGGTCCGTTGGTGCTCTTATTATGTTTGCTTGCCTCAATTAACAAATGTAATATACATGTATACTAGGGCTGTGTTCTTGAAACAAAAGGATCATAGGGACTGCATCACTCACCTGTATCTTCTGTTATCTGAACTTGGCAAGAATTTAAAACAAATTTAAAAAGTTTTTGCTAACTTGAAACTATGGCGGTAATCCCGAACCTCTTGTTCACACAAATAATTAAAATAGAAACATTGTTAATGACATCGACAGATATATGTGAACGATATAAGGTTAAACCGCCAACGATAATCGGAAGTGAGAAATTATCGCAAAGATGTCAGCAAATCAGAAAACAAGTCATCCATATCACATTTAGAATCAAGCAAACAAATAAGAATAAGAACACCTGTTCAGGACCTTATGAGCAATACTCAGAATGGGTTTATTACCGTTGGCCTATTGGAATATGAGAAAAAAAATACCGCAAACGTTCTACAACATTTAGTCGAGCACATAAGAACACAGGTTTAAATGCCCAAAACAGCTTGATTGAACCTGAGCAGCAGAAAATGGCTCAAGCAAGAGTACAATAACGTAGTTGATCTTAAATCAGCCTGAAAATAACAACTGACCTTGAAAGGAAAATGTGCACCAACGTGTGATAACATTTACTTATAAAACCTGTAGAAGAACTGATTTCCTCTAATGAACCCTCTTTTCTGTATTGCCCTTTTGTTGATCCACAATACTGGAGCCACTTTATCCATCGATACTCAATGCCAAATTAGGTCAAAGTAACTTCATCAATACTTGGGAAGTAGTCTTTTAAATACTACACTTGTTTCAATTTTTGAACTATGTCACTCTGTCCCCAGAGGTCACAGTTTATTAAAAGACTGACAATATGTTACCTATGGGGATGGAATCACTGACAAATCTTACCTACCTAAACCTGTCTCACATCACTGTCCTTATCGGGCAAAACCTTTCATCTCTACAACTAATTGGCCAATAGAAGCACCCTACCAAATAAGGTCACAATCCCTTCATTGATACTTTTAAATGAGTAGTCTTTTAAAGATCAACTTCTAATTCCACTTTTAGGCCCAACCATAGGTAGGCTACATCTGTCACTTATACAACGTTTAATTCATTTGAACCAGGGTGGATCATCATGGCAAATATATAGTCAAAATGTCCTCAGGTTTTCTTGATAAGTAGTTTTTAAAGGAAAATTTAGTCAGATAAAGGATGCCATGCTATTGAATATGGTCACGCAATAATTTCGTCTGCCCAGGAAAGATAAAAAATAGTGTAGTGTGCCGATGCATATCAGGCTTGTAACATTTTCCAAACATCAGAGAATGGTGTATTATGCAGTATGATTGGTATCTTTCCAGAATTTGCATGAATAATATCAGGTAATTTTATGTATCAAAAACAATTCAAATGGAATAAGTTTCAATTCAATAAATGTTTTACTAATTGAATATACAATCCTATTCGTTAGAATTAAAAGCTTGATTGTCTTTGACAAAAATGAACTAAATCAAACCTTATAGAAAGGTTTATACAATATAATACTGCATGGATATCACAGAAAACACCAAATCTTTCATGAATTGTAACTCACTTCTACGACTATGGTTCAAAATCATTTTGTTTGTGAAATAAAACTGGTAGACGAAAGTCTTAAGTTAATGAGGATTAATTAACTCATTCACCCCTGAAATTTCATAATGAACTATAACCATATCGGAATTAACAAAGGCACTATCCTCAGAAGTTCGTGTAAACATATCTGTACTTTTGGTGGCCATAAACTAGTTAGTTAAGATTATCATTACTACTGTGAAATCACTAAAAAAATGGGGGGGGGGGGGGGGGGGGGNTTTGTTGCTTTTGAGGGTAATATTCATCCAAGAACGAAGTACCTATAATCACAAGTTTGATATAAAGCAATTCTCCATTTGAATGGGTACTCAAAATCCACTAATTCATTTACTGTACCCAGGAAATGTGTTGTCTGGAAACCACAAAATTTGGGCCCCACAAAAACATTTGATTTTACAGTAATATAACATTAACTACCTAGTTACAGTACTAGAATTGTTTTTGCGAGGTCATTTCTAAGCCAATTTTGATGAAATTTAAACCACAACACTCAGAAAATACAATTAGTTTATCTTGATAAATTTACACTTATTTACATCGTTATATTTGCAAATGGCAATGAGATGAATAGATGTAAACCTCAAAACTGTTGTGATCCATGTTAACCATTATTAGCAAATTGGTAAAATAAATATAAACATTTTGTTTTAAGTAATTTCCATTAGTAAACCAGAAAATGATAAAAAGTTATTAAATATTTAGGTGGGGTTTTTTTTGGATCAAAATTGGTAAAAGAAATATGGCAAACAACTATAAATATAAAGTTATTTTAGCTAACTCTATTTTTGTTCACTTACTTGAATCCCATAATCTAAGCGATTTAATGATTAATTATTAGATACTAACATATTGCACAGAGAAACTTCAGTTTTAACACAACCCGTTTCCCATTTTCGTATCTTTACATTCCAATTTCTTCTCACTCACTGCAGCATTCTCTTCTCCTTCAATTGCTTCAGTTTCATCTTCACACTTTTTTAATGTTTTAACACTGTTATTGTCTTTAGAAGGATGCTTAATTTCATCTTCTTCCTCCTCTTCATTTTCTACTTTATTTCCTTCATCTTCCTCCTCTTCAGCATCTTCCTCCTCTTCGGCATCTTCCTCCTCTTCAGCATCTTCTTCCTCTTCAGTGTCTTCCTCCTCCTCATCTTCTTCTTCCTCCTGCATTGTTGCCACTTCGTTAGCGAGTTCTTTCATCTCCTCTACACTGTTACCTACCATGATATACTCCAAGCCCTGTGGAAGATATTCCATTGTTTATGGTTATAAATATCACATATATATTCTAAAGAAAGTATAAGTTTATAATGTGCAGGCGGTCACCCATATATTTTCCTTCATATTCCGTAGCTGTAACACTATCCCCCCCCCCCTCTGATAAGTTTTAACCCGAGACCTGGCCTGGGGAATCCCACAGGTCCTCCCTGTGCATCAAGGCACCTGCCCTAACCACTGGGAACTGGACATGGCCTTACATGGTCACAGAGTCACTACGTATACACTGCCATCAAATGTTACGTGCGGGTGGTCACTCATCCAACTACTGACCACATTGACGTTGCTGAACTAGTGAGCTGCTCCCTGAGTTATACAACTTACATTTCACTTAATATCACGTTGCTTAATGTCACATTTCAGTTATTATCATGTTTTCTTGATGTACCGTTTTTCCTGCTATATAACCTATGTAATTCATTTCTTTTATTATCACTTGTTTTGATATCATTTTCGCTTTATATCACTTTATTTTGGCCACTGTCACAAAAAATAATTGGTAAATTTTATGTAAGAATCAATTATTTATGCCCCCGGAATCTGGTGTCACACCTGGACCTGTTATGTAAACAACATCACGACGTAACAGCATCTTTTTCACACATGGCTGATTGTACCACATCACTGTCAAAGCTATAGCTTGCCAGTACAAGGCAGTATTTCCCTCATATTCCTTATTAGCTGTTATAAGTTTAACCGATGTTTGATAATCTTATACACTTGTAACTAATGATCTTAATAAATATGTTGTTACAAAGCATTAATTAATTGCGATTATGACAGTGACAATAATGAATTTGAAGGTTTAAATTTCTAGTATCAAAAGCTTTTAACCCCATCAATCGTTAAATCTTGTTAGACTTCAACATCAGCATCTATTTCTTTGGCCCATTTTCATGTATTCATTCTAAATGCTCACATTCTGTGCTCTGAACCCAAATGATTAAAGCCCCATACAGGGTTCTTCCATTATCATGCTTAATTAATTATTCTGATAAATACCAACCTTCCAGTGATCCGGCTTTTCTAAAATACAGGTATCCCTCAAATCAAACTTCGTTAGTTTTGACAAAGCCAAGATCGTATCATCGTCCACACCCATGACAAGATTGCCTTTCATTGATAGGTTTGTCAGAGATTCAAGTTCTAGAACAAATGCTGGAATGTCTTGGAACTGGTTGTGATCTAGATTAAGATAAGCTAAACCTGACAGCCTTTCCAGTTTCTTGGGTAACTGATCAAACTTATTTTCGGCTAAACTTAACCACATCAAATTAGAAAGACGATCAAATCCTTCAGGAATTTCTGAAATAAAATTTTCTCTCACACTTAATTTCTTGAGCTGTTTTAACCTACAGATATTTTCCGATAGATTTGTGAGCTGACATTCTACAAGCCAAAGTTGAGTCAGTGAACACAAGTTCCCTATTTCTTCACCAAGAAATCCGAGGGGGTTGTGAGACAGGTTGAGGTAGGTAAGATTTGTCAGCGATTTTATTCCCGTGGGTAACATTGTCAGTCTGTTATTATTCAGCACCAACTCCTCCAGAAGTAGTAGCTTCGTCACCTCGGATGGAGGCATCAGGATTTCATTGTCATTCAGCATCAGTTTCCGCAGGTTGGACAGCTTCTGTATGTTACTCGACACAACTTTGATATTCCTGTGGCTGAGGTTTAGAACCTCTCTATTATTTTTTTCAGCTTTCTGGATAATTTCTTCAATTTGCAACAAATCCATAATCCTGTAAGGAGGAAAAGAAAGACATGTTAGAAGTTAAGCTAAATGTGAAACAGCAAAAGAATAATAAGATGGGGAAATAGGGTGTCAGGTCATTTCGCACTAAAAATGATTTTCTAGTCCCGTATATATGGCTTTATTTAAGTTTTTCTAAGTCTCCCTTAGTCTTTCTTTACATAAGACTTGTTAGATTTGTAAAGTGGTCGTACAATGTAGCTAAATACTTGCATTCAATTCTTCCGCTGGTGAAACATGACAAATGTATATATATTTTTTAACTATTTAAAACATTTCAACAAATATTTATAACTTAAAATAAGTATTTGTATTAGGGCAAACAGTCTTCGGTGAACTGGATTTAAGGCAAAACGACCCGAATCTCGGAAATACAATGTTTCCAGCCATGCAGTATAACACTGGGACTCGCACAATATAGTTTAATGCAATATCCAGTAGCTGGATAGATGCCTGCTCATAGATTACAATTGGTGACACCATCGAGACCCTGGAGCTCCTACAATGACATGTAGGGTAAGGCCAGTTCTAGGTGGCTAGGGAAGTGGTTCTTATCTTATTTTTACAGAGGCTCCATCATTTCTGATGATTGTGCCTTCTGTACCTGCCTTCATAAAGGCAAGCGCATGAGGGCTTCAAGGGTATGTGTGCCTAAAAGTCATCAAGTGTTGCGCATTGTGCTGCTGCTATGGGAAGGAGATTCCATTGTGTGATTGTGTGTGGGAAGAATGAATATGTGTAGGTGTCTTTTGTAGCAGATATAAGCCTGAATTTCCTCTGGCCCTGACACCAGACTTAAGACATTTTGACAGATAGATGTCCCACACCAGACACCTATCTGTCAAAATGTCTAAGTCTGTTGTCAGGGCCAGAGGAAACTCGGGCTAAGCAAATATCTGTTTGTATGCGTAAGTGTGTGCATGTCTGGTTCGAGGGTCTACATTTAGAGATGTGGTACACAGGGAAGACCCAAAGGCAAAGTCTCCAGACAAAACGTCTCAAAGATAGTGTAGCAGCCACTGACATGAGTAAGAGAGGAAACAGACTTATTGACCAGCTAGTTATCTAGATATGCAGTACAGCCTTGTGACAAGCTCAATAATGTTTATTTCATATTAGTTCTCACATAGAACCTCACATATATATACTGTGTAAAAGATATGTGCATTGGTTTAAGGCTGCCTAATACAAGCGCCAGCTGTAGGGAATTTTCATTTAGCTCAGCGGTAGACCATCGGGCTGGAGAGCCAAGGGTTGCGAGCCACAGCGACGGAACTATTTTCATTACTATTCCGGGGGAGCCTTGTCCTACTACAAACTGGTGCCGTTTACCCTCCCGTTCAAGGTACATGTAGGAGCTAGAACCCTTGGAGTAGGAGGAATGGTCATAGAACCTGGGTTGGATTTTGAAGAATAGGAGAATAGTGTAAAAGATGTGCATTGATAAGGTTGCCTTACAAGCGTCAGCTGTAGGAAAGTTTTCTTTAGCTCAGCGGTAGACCATCGGGGCTAGTGAGTCAAGGGTTGTGGGTTCGAGCCACAGCGACGGCACTATCTTTATCACTATTCCTCGTCCTACTACAACTGTAGCGGTCTGCCCGCGCATATTTCCAATCCTGTTACACATATATGTGACAAGCTAAAATACTACCATCGAAATACGTAATTTCCATTAGCATAAACTTCAATCACATGGACACACTCTCAAACTTTGGCTATCATATTTTGATTCATGTCACGAGGAAGAAACTGGTTGTAAATCTCGTTACCTTTATGATTTCGCCGTAAGTCATGACGGCGCCTGAATGTGAACTCGACGTATTATGAACATCAGTCGAACATTAAGGGTTCTTCGGTGTAGACAATCTTATTTAAAGTAGAAAGTGAGAGTCACAACTACGATGAGAACTGAATTCCTCTTGAATGTTCTCTAGACTTATCATAGGCAATTATACTTTTTGTTCATTCGGAACCAAATTTTCCTTACCTCCCAAACAGAAGAGTTCCCAAAGATGCTGCAATGGATGTTGTTCATTATTTACTTCTATTTCAATATTGTATAGCTGTTTATTTCGTCAATTGTAAGCGACAAATACACGATGAACCAGGTAACTATGCAAGACACCAGTGCCTTTACATTAAAATATCGCAAGGGTTCAATATATACCTACAAACCCAAGAAATTTAATCTGTTAGATGGCCGGTGATCACCTGTCACGTAATAGACTTGCACAAGTCCATTGTTTTGTTGTCAGTCGAGTCGGAGACTTAAGGGGCCGGGGGTGATTCTGATCAGTGCGTGTATGTTGAAGTGCATTACATAGTCTTATCTATCATGCATTTACTAAAATAATTATTTGCAAAACAACTTTAACTTTTTGACTCTTTTGAAAAAAGTAGTTTTAATATATTATTAACTCATTCACCCCTGAACACACCATCTGAACTCTTCCAATTCAAAGTTTGGAATAGTTCGTTATAGACCTTAAGGGGTGAATGAGTTATATTGTAACAGGAAAAATATTTTGCATCACACCTGCGAATTGCAAACCTTCGTCTCCTATTAGTTGAATAAGTTAGCTGCTGCTGCTGCTGCTCTACAGATTGAGCTTAGAATTAAAAAGGGAAATAAAATGCACTCTAGCGCAAGTTAGAAACCCAACCATAATCATTTATCATAATAAAAACCTGCCACATATATAATAAAATGCTATGATAATGTAGCATAACTGGACTGCATGGCACATTGACCAGGCTACATAACATTTATATATTGTAGCTTGATTGGTTATTTAATATTACGTCTATCAACACCTTATATTAATAATAATAATAATGTTTATTTCAGGAAATAGATCATAGACATCACATGTAACATGACAGTTGACATACATATTACATGTTACACTTTAAGGTTTGAATAACTGAGTCTAGCTGCTGCTTTCTTCCATAACTGAACTGATGGAAGGTACATGGATATGTTTTTCGTGTGTCTGCAGAGTTGAAGACTTCATTGAAACACAGTGAGGAATACTAGCCTTGTCTACCTGCAAAAAAAAAAAAACCCCACCAATTATGGGTGTTTTGACAGATGAGCCTAAATATGGTTGAAAGATGGAGAATATTTGTACTGAAACTACATGGATAAAAATATGATCACTGGCGACTAGATCATGCAATCGCATGGTTGGAGTGTCGATCTGTCTAGAATTTGATTCACAGTACTAGTCTGGCCATTGCATTTAGAAGATAATTACATGATTTATACAATAATAATCTTCTGTGAGGCCTCCATACACATACACACATGCACACACATATGGAAACAAACTGTTACACATGTAGCAGAACTCGACTCACACACAGGGTAGATCGTGAGCTTCCAGGTACAAAATATAGCTCAATTGGTAGAGTGCTAGCAATCTTTTAAAATTCAGAGGGTCCTGGGATGGAATCCTGTCTAGATCTGGCCGTTGCATTTCTTTTTCCTGTTACAAAATTTGCAAGCTTGCCAACCCTTGTTTCAAGCACTGGCTGATACTTATTAGCAAGGGGATATCTGAATCTGAGTTATAAATAGTGTTGTCTTCTGAGCGAAGACTTAGAAAAAGGAGGGATACTGGGATGTAGAGGAACTGGACTGGGTTGATCGTCAATCGTCCAGTTAGCTCAGTTGGTAAAGTGTCTGTCTAGAGTTTGGAGGCTCCCGGGTTCGAATCCCTGTCTTGCCGTTGCATTTCTCTTTCTCCTGTTACACACAAATGGTTCACAATGTTGAGGTGTACTCATTTCCGATCCATCACACAAAGAAAACATGTTCACCCTGTTAAGCTTACGGTGTATTGCAATTGGACACTATCAAAACACAATGAAATTGATTCATGGTTTAATTCTATTCAAATTCTCAACCAGCTGTACATACATTCGTTTTTATTTTATAATCAATTGTCTTTCATTTTCCTTAGATTATAGTAAAATAGAATATGGTGGAATATTACACAAGAAAGATACAACAGTATCGAGTCAAGACAAGGACCTTGTAGCTGTAATTCAGGTAAGTGTTCATTGAAAATATAAAAAAATAAATAGAATAAAATGATAAATCTGTCAGATCTACCGCATATTTTTTTTATATATTAATGTAAAAGGTAGGAGAACCCTTGGCGGGGAGTCAAAGAACCTGGGTTTATGAAAAAAAGGGTGAATAGTGTAAAAGATGTGCATTGATTAGGTTGCCTTACACTATATTAGTGTCAGCTGTAGGGAATTTCCCTTAGCTCGACAGCGATAGAGCATCCGACTGGAGAGCCAAGGGCCGTGGGTTCAAGACCCAGCGACGGCAGGCACTATCTTTATCACTATTCCTCGTCATTAAATTGTTATACTGCAAGAGATAAGAGGGGGGAAATACTGCTTTACCGGCAAGCTAGCTTTTCTAGCGATGTGGTATAACTCTGGGATGCGCTCAATAGTTTTTATACCATGGAGCAAGGTCAGGGGCTCAGGGGCTCCCACCCACCCACCCACCCGGGGATTAGGGGGATGTGACTTATAGAAGGAAGGAGGAATACTGTGTAGTAGCCCGGGGATATGAGGGGGAAACTTTTCAAATGATGTGGCATAACTCTGGGACTCGCTCAAGTGTCTGTACTCACTCACTGTTAAGCAATGTTGAACATGATCAGTGCATTTAGTAATTGAATTCAATGATATTATCATAGAGTCTGTTTATTGTTTGATACAGTATGTTAAATATTGTGGTGACATTAGTTTCATTGTATATACTATTAGTAAGTTTATATCTAATTGTTGCAAAAACCTAAAAATATAATTGTGCAATCAAAATATAATTGTGCAATCTTTTTTTTGAATTTCTAGTATTCTTACAGCTTTGTAAAGGAGAGGTTTCCGTGGTCAGTCCCAGACTTTCTCAACCAGACCAAGACATCTGATGTTGAGAAACTAGTAAGTATACAATGGTGGTACTCTGTTTGTTAATTGGTGCACTTTGCTTTATATACGTATCGCTGAAAATGGGTTATACATTTCATGGCCTATTAACATGAAATGAAATGTTATTTAAGTTTTGACCATATTGACAAAATTAAAAAAAAAAGGGTCATGCACACAGGCAAAATTAAGCTTTATGCAAATATATAGGCATTCTATTTACGAAGAGGAAAATACAGGTCAGTGATGGAAACATTTGGCAATTTGTGTATTCCTTGTGGAATTTGTCTGCTGTGTAACACAGAACTTTCCTGATCTCTTTGCCTGATCTCCCACCCTCCCTGTATTTCTCATTTGGCATTTTGTTTGCAAAATAAATTTTGATCCACAAATGCATATTTTTCAGGGGGGGAGGGGGAGGAGGAGAAGAGGTGTTTATATATATTACAACTGCATTGGCTCTGTCCATTTTTCTATCCGTCTGGTTTTTCGAACTATAACCTATATACCTATACAGCTTCCTTCATCAGACTTCAAAGAATGTCTCTACTCACAGGATGAGAATGAAACCTTTGGAATGAAGTATCAAAAAGCCAGAGTAATTAACCTGCTGTACAATAATAGATTGTTGATTGCATGTTTACAGGTTATTTTCACCTCTAGGAGGCCATGACATGAATTTGGGTTCAAAGATGGAAGATCAATTGATAGTGACTCTTCACACAAAACAAATACCAAAACATTTTTTAAGTGACATATATCTTTCCATTCTTGGCTGTGAAACTTTACAGGATGACCAATTAATTTCAGGGTCAAAGGTCAGGGTTTTATTAACCTTCTTGGATAGTGTAACCATGCCAGTCAATCTATTCTGCTATATATTCAACAGCATTACCGAACAGAGAGTTGGACTACATGTATATTCATTTAGTCAACTATTTGGAGGCTTGTATTTTGCCTTTACTGTGTCACGATATACAAATGTATTGCAATTGCATCCTAATATATTGTCATCGGAAAAGAGTGCTTAATTTAGAAAGGAATTGTCAGAATGTAACCCGGTATCAAACTGAATCATATATCAAAAGGTTTTCATTGAATAAACCATTGAATACAAACTTCTAACTGATCATTATACCCACCATTAGTGATGGTGTACATGTTTTATTGTCTTTTTTGGAAAAGATTTCAATGTGTTGGTTACAATGTGTAGTAATTTCCAAGTAAAAACACCTAAAAGATAAGTGAAAATAAGCTCTTGAAAAATATTGAGATGCGTACATTAATATTTCATTTCTGTATTGAGATGTGTTAATTATGATATGCCTGCGATATTTTAGTTTTCCAATATAATTTGTGCCAGCCCTATTAACTCTTGGTCATATATATTAGTCTCATCTTTTTGAAGATTTTTATCATTACACTGTTGGACTGTTGTGATGAACTGTTTCATATTTTGCACAGGAGCTGGTGTACTCCATTGATGAAGAAAATCCTGTTTACAAGGAAGACTTAATGCAGCAGGGACACGATGGTGTGTCACCACTCCACGTCATCCTGTTTGGATTTCTATACAAGTTCACATTGTACTGGGAGACTCAGAAGGAAGCCTTCGCCCACCAATTTACAGTGTCCATGTTTCCTAGAGAAGTTCTCAACATGTACTCACACATATACTCCGATCCCCAGTCACATACACAAGGAACACCCCCATCAGTATCCTGTGAAAGTAATCCACAACCCATGACTAGCCAGTCAGATGTCTTGTTACAAAGAGAGGAAGGCAGCCATGAGTATTTTCATAAGGATGCTAGCCATTGGTTAAAGGATTCCGATCAATCATCTTGTAAGAGGGAGCCTAGTGACGGTGTCAGCTCTGACAAGAAACATCAATCAAAACCTGATTTCACAGTGATGAGCTTCAACACGTGGAACATGAACTCTTTATCAGGGAAAGAGAAACATTATGTGAAAAGAATTCAGTATCTTGGAGAGGTTTGTTTAAAATTTCAATACAACCTGTCCTTTAACCAAATGTCCTTAAATTACATGAACATGAACTCTTTATCAGGGAAAGAGAAACATTATGTGAAAAGAATTCAGTATCTTGGAGAAGTTTGTTTAAAATTTCAATACAACCTGTCCTTTAACCAAATGTCCTTAAATTACCTTAGCTGTCAATAGGACGTTAAACAAAATTAAACCAAAGCAAACCTTTAACCAATTCAAACACCACACGAACCAAGACATTTTAGAGGAAGAGGGTTATTTTTTTTTTTCAAAAAAGAAATCGTATTTGAATATGTTCCGTTTAACTCTTCTTTTAGTGATAGGCAAAATGCTGAATAAGTTCGAACTCTTCTTTAGTGGAGATACAATTATGAGCACTGGTACTCGCTACCTTAAAGCTAATAAAGGTTAATGCTACTGCGGGGTTCTCTGATATGTTGAATTTATATCTTTACAAATTTTAAAATAGTTGAGTTTTTATAAAAAAAACCACTATATATATAAAACTAAAATAAATAATCTGATCTTGATAAGGATTAGTTATGATAAATTGATAATGTTTATCAAATTATGATTTATCAAGCATTATTGGTGAATGTGTTTGTGTTTCCACTGGTTTGATATTATTATTATTATTATTAGATATCATTATCAAAATTTTTAATAACTTTTGTTTCATACTACCTGTACTACATTTCTATAATCTGAGGTGGTGGCAAGAAGTAAACCAGATATTATAGGCTTCCAGGAAGTGCGTTACGAATACTCTAAAGGGGGACAACTCGGGCCCAGTCAAGTTCAGCACCTGGTGGACATGTTGGAGGGCTATCAGGCATGTGTTTTATTAATTACAGCTTATGAGCCCCTTTTGGGATAATTGGGCAACTAAAAATTTACACTTTCTACCATCTTTTTGATACCTAAAATTTTACTACATTGTTGCAAGAGTTATAAAAAAAGGATTAAAGATTACCTGTTCTATTATTTCAAAATAGATTACAACTATACTTTGGATATATATATCTTTATAATGGCACATATGTAACTTTTATCAAAGGTATTTTGTTCATTTGAGGTTGAATTATTACTTAGAATTGGACTTTAAGAAGTGGAAAATGATGTTTTCGTACCTTTCAAAGATATTTTTAGTAAGGAAAGCAATCACGTGTGTAAATATAACATACATTGTACGTTAATGAACTTAAGTGAGAAAAAAAATTGTTTACGTAAAAATAAATCTATTTTATTTTTAGAAGTTAACCTACTGTATTAGCTTCTGTTTCTTAAATGTGTGTTTATAATGAAAGAAATTAATGACATGAAACAAGAATACTAAAAGAACATGTTTGAAAAAGAAAAATTAACCACTGAAATATCACCCTTCAAATTAAAGCTGACATTTTGTCCTCGTATATTTTTATACACTTGTGATTATGAAAGTTTTCTCCGTCATATCCTCAACCTTAAGTATGAAAACAGATATAATCTGAACATTCAAACAACTTAAAACTTGTGTCTGGTGTATTTTCCAGTTCGTATTTCAACCTGGCCAACTACAGCCGAACAGTCTGTATGAGGGTCGCACCGAGGAGGGCGTGGCAATCTTTTCTAGGTTCCCGATCATGTCTGTCAACCACTTACTCCTCTTCAGGTCTGTATACAAATCTTTAATTACAGAATTTGGTTTAAAGTGACTGGTCTGAAGCATAAAATTGGTCAAAGTAGCATATTGGCATTCTTTTTTCAAGTTTTTTGTTTGTTTCAATACTACAATAAGGCATCCCATACCAATAGGAAATAACATCCATTTAAGGGGTTTATCATGGTATTTTTTAGGTCTGTTTAAGAACCTTTTCTAAATTGAAAAGTGTTTAATTTTCCCCTGTTTTCCTCTTTGAAATTCGCTCTATGAAAATCTATAACAAAAAAACCCATAAATGGATGAAATCCTTACAGCTCACTGAGATCTTGAAATGTAGCATATTAAGGAAGGATGGAATATGATCTTGTTGTCATGAAGATAGACTTAGATAAAAGTTAAACAGTCTAATTTCTTGAATTCAAATCTGATGATGAACATTGTAAATCCAAAAAAGGTTCTTATGTTGAGATTTCTTTTCTTAATTTTATCCCAGGGTATTTCCCCCGAAACTCCTCGATAAACCTTATTTGATTGTGACATCAGGGCTTCACGACAAACTGGAGGAGATAAAAAAAAATCCCAGCAATATTTTTTGGTGAGATATCCTGGTCAATTACCAGTCTGGGCCTATGACCAGTAAAACAAAGGCTCATATTGGGTGACAATTATAAGCCAATCCCTATACACAAGGAGGCACGGTAGTCTAGTGGTAGGACGCCGGGCTTGTGACCGAAGGGTTGCAGGTTCGAGTTGCGGCACTGTGTTGTATCTTTGAGCAAGATACTTTACTCCGCTTGTTCCAGTCTACTCATGACAGCTGTGAATGAGTACGTGGTTGGGCAGTGCTAGAATTGTTGAATGCTAGCTGTGAGTGTTGAAATGGCAGCACCAGCAGTATGCTCCCCAGGGAGTTGAGAAATATATTGGCTGGTTGCAAAGGCCCTATAACCAGGGATAATAATTTGTGAACTGCTTTTAGAAGACCTACAAACTGGGCTTATCACCGGTAAAATACGAGATGTGATAATGATTTATGTGTATAACACTTACGGATCTGAAGCAGCTGTATTTGTTTTATACAGAAACAGAAGCAATAGTGCTGACACTCACCAGAGGGTTTGTCTCCATGCTGTCATCTCTCATCCAACAGGAACACAGGTATGTAGGCAGGATAAGGTATTAAAACTAGAAATAATGCAAAAACTTGTAATGTTAAAACCCTTTCGTTATCAATACCATGAAGCTCTCAATAGCTAAGTTACATCAATTGGGTAATTTAAATTAACTTCTATAATTCCCTTCCATTCTATGAGATATCCTAGCTATATGAAGTCTGGACACTGTATATGTTGATTGCTATGAGCAAGCATGCTCTTAGTCAATCTCAAATCTATTCTGATCTTATACCCTAAAATCTCGATAGTAAGGCTGATTTCATAATAGGCTGGCTTTGATAGTATAAGCCTGTGGTATTCCTTCAGTCAAAAGTAAGCTGGCTTGCAAAATCAAAAACAGGCCAGCCTTGAAATTCACTTCTCTCCAAGAAAACCAAGATGGCAGGCAGGCCTTGCAAATCTGCATAGTATTACCAATTTCATTGTTGTTTTTATTTCAGATCAACATTTTAAATACTCACCTGTCCCTAAGCCATGAAGCCAGGGAGAAAGCAGTTCTTGCAATATGGAAATACGTTAAACAACTCCAGGGACCAGTAATTTTCATGGGAGATTTGAATGCAGAACCTGAAGAACAAGCTTTAAAGTACTTAAATACATTTTACGTTTTTACTTCAAAAATATTGTTGAAGATTCTCAGAGAACCTGCCCAAATGTATTCAGTAAGCTTGTACAGTGTGGCTACCTTAGGAGACCTTAATCAGTGTTAGCACTGTGTAGGTCATAAGAGGGGTCCTTTTTCTAATTAAAATGAATGGAGGTCCTAAATTGCATAGTTCAAAGAGAGTTATAACAAAGTGAGGTCCATTTGAAGTTCTTCGCTTGAAAACTCTGACATCAAATATTAATCACCCAAAGAAATGATATTTGTATAATTAAATTACAAGTATTCAGTGACATCCTGTCTTAAACTTAGCTAGATATGTCTAGTTACCAGGTATGATTAACTCCATGGAAATAAAAGGACTTGTTAGCTCACCTGGTCCAAAGGACCAAGGAGAGCTGATAGCATACTGTGGAGTCTGTCGTCCGTCGTCCCTTGTCCATCCGTCAACAATTTTTTCAAAAGTCATCTTCTTCATAACTGCTGATCTATACCATTGCTTGGCATAAAGATCCAGTTTGACGATACAGGCCCTCTGGGCCTCTTGTTTAAATAAGTTTTAATATCTATAATCTGTATCAAGAGTGAGGTATCATGTTCAGAAAACAAAAAAATCGCTAATTTGCTACAGATGTTGAAATGACACACACTGTATTTATGCTACATTGTATCTGGTTTTGGTATTAAAACTGATTTAAAAGCGTTTCCAGAATCTAAACATGTAATATACATACCGTAAAAACCCATGTAATTTGCGCACCTTTGTAATTTGCGCCGGTACTTTTTGAGGCTGAAAATCTGGAAAAAAGCTTCTACTTGAATATTTTGCGCACCCAAAAAATCTGAAAAAAAAACGATGTTCATGCTCCGAAAATGGATCTCTAAATTTTTTTTTTTTTAAATATATTTCTTATAATTTTTTTTCATTGATGTAAAATGATATTAAAAACCAAGAAGAAACTACGTATTATTAATAATTTTGAAGAAAATCTATCATAAACAGCTGCTTTGCTTTCTGATATGACAAATGCATTTTTATGCCCCGACCGTTTTATGAAATATTAAGTATCAATCAGCCGAGCCTTTTTTCACTGCAAATATGCTTATTTTTACGCAGTCAGAGTTTACAAAGCTGAAGATAGGATGCGTGATAATATATATTCTTACCAACCTCCATCTCCCCGACACCTTTTAGGTCCTATTTCAACTTGGTGTTGAGGCACATCAATAGCTAACGACATAATTTCTTTATGCAAAAGGTCAAACATGAAAATGCCTCAAATCAATCCTGGTATTTCAGAGTTCAAGGTCAAGGCCAAGGTCACTGTTACTATTTAAAGAAATTTGTCAACCACTTAATAAGTGTCATCATATACTGTACAAACTTTATCTCTTTATCATTTGTCAAATGATGACAGTAATTTGCATCAGAGTGGGGGGCATTCATGCTTTACATTTGTTTAACTGATGTTACTCTTTCTTTGAAGCTGTTTATATTCATTATTAATATAAAATACAATAATATAACACCAGTGAGAGAAAAAAAATATCATAATATAATACTAATATTGTGTTAGTCAAAATGTTTGTATATTATAAGAAATTTATAAATATTCCACTGAAAAATATACTTTTTTATTTACAGATTTTTACGAGGAGAGGTTTCCCTTGAAAATCAACAAACAACAGGCTTTGTAGATGTTTGGTCCGAAACCCATGGCCAGGACACCCCTGGTCTCACCTATAACACACTGAAACAGGACCTGTCTAAGAGAGTAAGTTTTCATCCTCACTTAAACCTTGTTATATACTGCCATTGGCTGTCATTTAAACCTTGTTATACTGCCATTGGCAAGGTAGCTTCCTTCATCACTGACCCCTTGTTTTAATGCCACTCGCGAGTAAGCTTCTGTCATCACTAAAACCTAGTTATACTGCCACTAGCAAGTAAGCTTCTGTAATCACTAAAACCTTGTTATTCTGCCACTGGCGAGTAAGCTTCTGTCATTTAAACCTTGTTATACTGCCACTGGGGAGTAAGCTTCTGTAATCACTGAAACCTTGTTATACTACCACTGGCGAGTAAGCTTCTGTCATCACTAAAACCTAGTTATACTGCCACTAGCGAGTAAGCTTCTGTCATCACTAAAACCTTGTTATTCTGCCACTGGCGAGTAAGCTTCTGTCATCACTAAAACCTTGTTATTCTGCCACTAGCAAGTAAGCTTCTGTCATCACTAAAACCTTGTTATACTGCCACTAGCAAGTAAGCTTCTGTAATCACAAACCTTTTTATACTGCCATTGGCGAGTAAGCTTCTGTAATTACTGAAACCTTGTTATACTGCCACTGGCGAGTAAGCTTCTGTCATTTAAACATTGTTATACTGCAACTGGCGAGTAAGCTTCTGTAATCACTAAAACCTTGTTATACTGCCACTAGCAAGTAAGCTCCTGTCATCACTGAAACCTTTTTATACTGCCACTGGCGAGTAGGCTCCTATCATCACAAAAACTGTGTTATTCTGCCACTAGCAAGTAAGCTTCTGTCATCACTAAAACCTTGTTATACTGCAATTGGCAAGTAGAGCTTCTGTCATCATTGAAACCTTGTTATACTGCCACTAGCAAGTAAGCTTCTGTAATCACAAACCTTTTTATACTGCCATTGGCGAGTAAGCTTCTGTAATTACTGAAACCTTGTTATACTGCCACTGGCGAGTAAGCTTCTGTCATTTAAACATTGTTATACTGCAACTGGCGAGTAAGCTTCTGTAATCACTGAAACCTTGTTATACTGCCACTGGCTACTAGTAAGCTTCTGTAATCATTAAAACTGTGTTATCCTGTCACTAGCGAGTAAGCTTCTGTCATCACTAAAACCTTGTTATACTGCCACTAGCAAGTAAGCTCCTGTCATCACTGAAACCTTTTTATACTGCCACTGGCGAGTATGCTCCTATCATCACAAAAACTGTGTTATTCTGCCACTGGGGAGTAAGCTTCAATCATCACTGAAACCTTGTTATACTGCCACTGGCGAGTGAGCTTCTGTTATCACTAAAACTTTCTTATACTGTCACTGGCGAGTAAGCTTCTGTCATTTAAACCTTATTATACTGCTTCTGGCTAGTAAGCTTCATTCATCACTGAAACCTTGTTATACTGCCATTGGCAAGTAAAGGATATGTCATCATTAAAACGTTTTTATACTGCCACTGGCTAGTAAGCTTCCTTCATTACTGAAACCTTGTTAAACTGCCATTGGCAAGTAAAGATTCTGTCATCACTAAAACCTTGTTATACTGCCACTGGCCAGTAAACTAAGAACTGTCATCACCTGAACCCTGTTATACTGCCACTGGTGAGTAAGCTTCCACCATCACTAAACCCCTGTTATACTGCCATTGGCAGGCGACCATATTGGATTTTGACATTGAAGGTTTGTTATCCTACTTCTCAGGAAGCACTGGAGACATCTCCCCGTTTTGACTTTTTGAATAATGCTCCTGTAAGAAGATGATGAAGGTAGCATGGGACACTAAGTAGAGATCTCAAGTCACATGTTTTCATGGTTTGTCGTTGATAAAAAGTTCATGCCGGTCCCTCTGTAACACAAATCTTAATAAGGTTTTCTCATCGGTATCGATTATTCAAAGGTATATGGGATGTACTTGAATGCAAATAGTTTTTGCCTTTTTGTTCTTGTTTTATTTACATGCATTTGATATTTGTTTGTCATATTTGCAACATTTTATCAGTAATTCTAATTCATTGGTGACGTAACACTGTATTTGATTAGTCAATGAAAATAATTTTCCCCAGTATACTGTCCACAAATTTCTCATATGCAAGTTGTTAATGCGTCTAACATTCTGCTACCACGAGCCCTCCACCACTGAGTTGCGGGTTCGAGGCCTATGTGGGAACGTATGCGTAGTTGCCAAGTACTGGCCGTAGGTCGATGGTTTTTCTCCGGGAACTCCGGCTTCCCTCCACCACCTAAACCTGGCGCGTCCTCAAATGACCATAACTGTTAAGGTCATTGGAGTGTATTGATAAACGGAAACAGGAAGTACATTCCTAATTGAAAAGCCAATGTAGGGAGACAGTATCACAATTTCCGCAAATTCTAATGTTTAATTTTAAACTGATGAATATGGTATGTTTATTAATGACAGAACAATGTGTTCTCTCAATATTAAAGTATTTCAAAGCAATCCAGGCATTAATTCAGGTTTTTTTATCAATGAGTCACATGTGTCCATTTTTCTGTACTTCAGGAAACCGGCTACCTATTTCACTACTGTGAAGTTTTTCAAGAACGATAACACTTACCTGCAATTACTATGTGTATATGGTTTTATTATAAAATGTCAATTTTTATATCGCATTTGGAGAATTAATTTACACAATTTCAGCATTTATTAAATTGATATACATTATTGCAATACTAATATATGTCAGTATCATTTTTATTGACATTATTTTGTAAAAATATTCTTTTTTTTTTTTTTCAAAATTCACTCTTTTTTACATAAATTTCCATTTAAAATCCTTAAAATTCTGACAACCTATATTTTTTTGGGGGCAGAAAATTTTCTTTACTTTAAAGCAATATAACTACAAAATTTGAAGAAATTCTACTGAGAAATCGTGACACAATCCTATTACCTTAATATGACATAAAACACGAACAAAGATATGCATCTGAAGCCCGGATTGCAGTTGTTAATGACGTCAATAACCAGGACACATCATGATATATATATATATAGCATCACTACAAAAGTCAATGTCATTCAGCCTCACTTTGAATGTTCCTGACGTCGTGTCCAATCCACAGCAGTGAGACCCAGATGTTGCAGAGAACGAACACAAATCATCATAAAACTTTTGTTTCTTCCGATGGTTTTAGCTGATATCAATTAGAATGGAGATAATGCTTCTGTGTTTTGAGATTTATGGCGGTGATTATACTGACGCTAATATCAGATTTACTTGCCCTGGAACTATTTAATACCCACTAATGTTAGGTCCATATAAAGCGTTCGCTGCCAACCTACTGTCAATCAGTTATTGTCGTCAGACACAAAAATTACGTAAAGACTTTATACAAATACTTTCCACATTTTCACTTTTCTGTAGATTGATTATATCTTTATGAAGAAGTCCAAACACATGCAGATTGTTGAAGTTACAACACCAGACGACGAACGGAGAGGGTGAGTGTAATGATAACCCCGGCCCTGGACAACGAAGATAAAAAGGGGTTCCAAATGAGTGACGTTTAGCTATCTTGTTGACTAAGAATTCAAAGACCATATCAGGACAGATAACTCCTTCAATTTCAGATTCGGATACAGTGATGATGTGTTGTCTTTTAATATGATATATATATATATATATATATGCAAGACTACACACTTGTGTTTTTCTAACGAATCAGAAAATATTCACGAGTGCGCGGAGCGCACGAGTGAATATATATCCGTCCGCGCAATAAATGAGTGCTTTCTGATTAGAAAAGCACAAGTGTGTCGTCTTGCTTTTATCACATACCTTCCGTATTAGGGATATGTGCAATACAGAACGTTGTATTTCATGGTCTGAAAATTGCTTGTATTACTATAACAAGATTCAACAGGTATGTAATAAATATATATACCTTCCTTAATTTGAAATCACTTCAACCTTTTCTACGTTAATCACGATAGCTATAGGCAACCTAAGTTTCATATGTGATGATATCGATTTTCCGATGATGCACATGAACATCCCATTCTTGATAGTGGCATCCCTGTCTCCCCGAATAACTGTTGTGAATTTGTAAAAATGTAGACTTTCATATCAAATTGCATTGTTTGAAGCTGGTTAATGCAATAAGATGGGGCCATGTTACGAACTGAAATTCTCAATATTTTGTTAAAACAATTCGTTAATAATAATTTAAGCGAAGCTCGATTTATCGTGTTTGTCTTGCCGCGACGAAGTAGCGGAAGCGAGACTAATTGAAAAAAAAGGTGTTCCTTTTCAGGCGACGGCGGCGTCATCAACATTAAGTTTTTGCGTTTAACCTAGTTTAAAGTATAAGTGCTAGACCAACCAAACTTGGACCATAGATGCATCTTAGGTACTACATCTCAACTCATGCATCAAATGCTGGATGAGGCCTACCTTTCATTTTAAGTAATTAGTTTCTCTGATATGTGCATTGATGGTCAAAGCGGGGCACAGGCCAGATGTATCAATCCGAATGACTTGTTCTTTAAGCCAGTTGCAACGAATATCATCTTTATGGGTTCAGATAAGACAGACTCAGCAGTACATTTATCAATTACATATCTGCGTTTTCCATTCTACTACACTTATAAATACCTACATTGTTGTTACCTTGCAGGCACAAAGCTGCTTCTGACCATCTACCTGTGTTTGCCAAGTTTACACTTAGCACGCCCGAAACGTGACATTGGTTCTTCATAGAGGTCAGACACGTGTAGCAATCCCAACACGTGATATTAGTTCTCTATACAAGTCAGACACGTGATGTGGTTCTACATACAAATCAGACAAGTGATAGAACCTTTACCATAACAACCATTATCAAACCTGAATACAAGTTTTTGGTTCTTAATTCTTATTGACGTTGTACATTAAATAAAGCTATTAGTTGATGACATGTTTAAAATTTACCACAGCATACATGTATATTGAGCATGTCTCAAATATGTACTGGTTTTGCAAATTGCTTTCAATTCGGCATTCCACTCTAAGGAGTAAAGTAATACGGGGAATGACTCTGTGAAGAGTATCATGATGTTCCGTTGTTCTGTTAAGAAGTATCATCCCCATTCCGGTTTTACACTATGTCATATTTAATACATATGATGTTTTATCCTAAAACTTTGTTCAGAATCTTTTTATTAGTTGTTATATTTCATTACAAATAATTTAAAATTTGTTACTGTATGTACAAATATTTTACACATTGTTATATATATTCTATGATTCTTAAATAAAATTTAATCAGAAAAACTGTTTTTAATGTGATCTTTATAAACAAATTGTTTTCATTTGGTATCTTTGGGAAACAGTAAAATGAAATAAGAATAATGAAAATCAATTGGTATTGAAAAATCAGATGTCGGTGGAATAGACTTTGGTGATAGGTCAGTAAATCACGTGCCAAATTCCTTTTTACGATATTTAAGTCAACCACTCATATATATAACAGGATGTATTAGTTTATATCCTATGCCGGTTTTATTTATTTTTAGCCCACTGTTATCAGAAGGTTTGCAGTTCTTATTGCCCTTTTCCCTCGTCCGTTCTTAACCCTTCATTTTATCGTTTTTTTCTTCTTCTCGAAATGACTACACGGGTCTTTCGCTGATTGCTTTTAAAAGTTCTCGTTAGTTATGGAGGTTTCAGACTAATCGGAAGATCCAGATTATATAGCGCCCAGGCAGCAATCGTGGATTTTGAAAAGATTCGATATTGCAATTTATTGCAAGTACTTTAGGGATCTTTCTCAAATTTCATATGTACTTTTTTAAGTTCTCCCTGGACCCTTTTTATCTTGCCTGTAACCGCCAGACAGCCATCTTGAATTCCAGCAGTAAACGTTTGTTATCGTTATTTTTCGGTACTTGACGGATCTTTTTTCATAATTCATCTGTACGGGACTACTGATCAGTATTTGGATTTTGACAGTTGAAGTTTATTATTTCTTTTTCTTAAGAAGTACTGTACATAACTTTCTCAAACTTCTATTGTAAGTTTTCTTGGATTGTTGTGCATGTTTCATTTTGAAAGTGATCGGAAGAACACGATGGCATCCAGGCAGCCATCATGCATTTTGACAATCGGGTTGGTTGTCGCGATTTCTGTAAACGTATACTGGATGGAGCTTTCTCGAATATTTGACTCTCTCAGGGGCGTAGCTGGGTTGTAAATATTATATAGACACTTGAATAGTTGGGTGGTAAATGCGCGTTTGTTTAGTTTAACGACAACAGGTTAAGAGTTTAAATAAAATCGATTGATAGATATACAAATAAATAATACGAAATTTGATGTCCATTTCTAAAAATGAATGAGTGTTAATTACTTAAATTTGAGGGTTTCAGCAAGATTTGTAATCAGTTACAATTAGTTCCCAATTACATTAGTGTTTAAAATAACTTTGTATTAGACTATCAACACAATTGTTATCCAAAAATCTATAAACTAAATTTACCTTTTTGATAAGAGGATGGTTATTTTAAAAAGAAAATACCGAAATGTCATACGAAGAAAAAACATCTTTCCCTATTAGATCATGATGGAAACCTTTAAACTTGCCAATAGTCTTCATTAATCTGCGTCTTTGAATACCATGTGTTGTAAGTTTGTCCGTCAGCAGTCGACGAATATGCCATCATGACGAAGTCAAGACGTTATGCTATTTGCAGCAAGCTCTTGAATACCGACCGAATGACCTGCAACATACGGAGGGACACTGTTTGTTCCTATTGGAATGCCTGTAGTCTGCTCACTGATGGGAAGTCTTGCCACCGAACTTAACTTAGATATTGTCAATCAAGAAACTAAAACATACTCGCAATTCCATCTTCTGTATATTTATTTTAGCCTTGGTTGTGCTTTTCGCAAACATATGCTCCAAAATAATTCACAACCATACAACCATATATTTAAATCGATGTTCTTCCTTCTTTTCGAAAAGAAAGCTTTCACCACAAGAGAACGATGCCGTCCTTGTGTTTAGTATGACAAATAGAAGTGTAAAAGGTCGAAAAGTCGGAACGTTTGATCCCGCGATGAAACGTTATTTGTAAGGATTCTTGTAAAATTTCGAAAACCAAAACAAAGGAGGTGGGCCCGTATCCTCATCATGGGTATCCGGGGAAATTGTTATACAGAAGCATGATTGGCTAGTATTTTGTCTTTCTGAAAATTGGAAGATGTACACGAAAGGTTTCCTTGGTAACCACGCATGCTCAGTTATACTTTTGCAATGTAATTGTGTTTGCACGCCAAAATTAAAATATTAGATATTGTAATATTTGTCGACACAGACAAGTACATGCCTATCATTCAGATTGTTCGGTGTGGTTTGCATTTCCTACAGACTTAGAGTTTTGCCGTTCTTTTGGATTCCAGGTGGCGAATTTCGTGTTGGCCTTAGGGTTGTGTGTAGCAACTATAATGGCTATAAAGTTAAATAATTTAGTTAAAGACGAACTTGAAAAATCTTGATTACTTCATAAACTAAGTATTACAACTGTTGTTGTAGGATTACCTTTGTCTAATGTAAGCTTGTTAAGATGTTTTTCGAGTAAGTAAAAAACAAACTTTAACGAGATTTCGTGTATTTTGTACTAGACTTATACAAACATCCTTGATTAGTATAATCCGTTATTTCAGTTAAACACATTTTCAGTTTTTGCAATTTTTGCAATTTACATTTTCTGACTAAAAAAAGTGACAAAGGTATGTATAGGTACATGTACGTGCCTACTCGAACTTAAGGTAGCTACGCTACTGGACTGGCAGCAAAGGACTCTTTATATGTCAGGTAATTGGTCAGATTACAACCGTACTTTGAAAAGACAAAGTCAAACACAGAGGTACATAACGTTTTGCTCGAATATTACCACCAGATGGACCGATGGTTGACAGAAGGCAATCCAACCTGTAGAAAAGATCAATTTACTTAGGTCAAATGGAAACTTTACTACATGGTTTTTGCCGTAATAACTCTGGGATCTTTGGTATATATTCTTGTTGGAAAAGTGGGAAATGTAATATTATTGTGGCCCGTGCATTTGTGCGTCCATGATTAATGAGAACCCGTAAAAGAGCGTGAACGGATAATACATCTTTAGAATTATCCAAACCGAGGCATAAGCCCGATGTTGTGATGTTGCAGAATCTAACTCAGCACTGATATATTTTATATCTTCTTGTAGCTCCGTAAACATATCGATCATAATTTTATTTTTTAATTGCGAACATCGTTGCAAAATAGGTGCTTTACACAAGATCCTTATCATCATCCTCATGACATTTAACACTGAAATCGTCATCATCATTATCATCATCATTATCATTATCATCATCATTATCATTATCATCATTATCATCATTATCATCATCATTATCATTATCATCATCATTCTCATTATCATCATTATCATCATTATCATCATCATTATCATTATCATCATTATCATTTTCAACATCATCATAAGCATCCCACTGATATATCCATCATGACAGAAAATCATCATCCAATTGACATAAACTTTTTCATTATTATCATTATCATCACCACGACTGAAATTATCCTCATTCTCTCAATGATATCGATCATAATCACACTTGTCATCATCATCAAACTCATATCATCATCATTACTGAAATCAATATCATTCTCACAATAATATCGTAAGCACACTGTTGTCGTCATCAAACTGATCATCATCATCATCATCATCATCATCATCATCATCATCATGAATGAAATCAACATCATTCTCACAATAATATCAAAATCACACTGTTCTCATCATCAAACTAATATCATAATCATGACTGAAATCAACATTATTCTCATACTACTATCACCATCATCAAACTGGTATCATTATCATCATCATATGACATTCAAATCATCCTCATCATTATTACCCAGACATTTTCGTCATGACATTGACATAATCTTCTTCATAGTTATCCTCATCATACTCTCACCAATTCCATCAACAAGACACTAAAATCCACTGATTTCTTCTCATGCAATCATCAACCTCTAACTGATATCATCTTCATTGTATATACAAAGTAGTTATCATAATGATGTCATCATCATCATAATAAACAAAAATACCAATTTTATTCCCATGTGAGTGTTAATTTGCTGAAGCGTATCATATCATCTCTCTCACACCTTTTATACATTCTTTTGAAATACATTCTTATTTTTTTTTAATATATTCTGATGTTCAGATGTATTATAGAGAGAAGAGGGAAAGGAAAAGAAAGGGAACTTTGATACAGTCAATTAAAGAAATATCCTCAGCCATTTCAAATCTTGTTGATTCATACAACTATGTCCAGGAGAAAATGAGATACATTCTTCAGGAGTACGCATTGCTTTTATGTTATCTGAAAATCTGCACTTTTGTCTCGTATTACTAAGCACTGATATATTTAATATCTTACTGACATTTCAGGCGCTCCGTAAAAATGTCGATTGTAACATTATTCCTTGTTCTGAAAGTCATGAATCGTAGCGGTGGAACAGCATAAAACCTTAGACACCACCTGATGTTGTTTGCATTCCTGATTTATTATAATTATATACAGATAATTCCGAAATATATTTAAGAGAAAAAAAAGACGATGTTAAAACCGAATGTTATATCAGACAAACTGATGGAAGTTTTAGTATAAATAGATAACCTGTGGCAAAACAATGATAAAAAGTAGGTACTCGCTGATTGATTAGGAGCGTTCAAATAACACGTCCCACACATGATGTATTGGTGAGCGATTGGGACTGTTTAGCGTCAAACGTAACATTTAGACATTTGTTGGGCAAAAATACTGTAACAGTGGGTATTTTCGCGGGTGGAAAACGTGAAAATACGGAACAGAATCACTATGGTGTTATTCTGTCTAATTGCCTCTAACGACGACAAATTAGGCTTTTGGCTTATGCTTGTATTAGATAACACTATTCTTTTCAAAACCCTCATTGGTTTAATCATAATCGCGTGGAGGTCTGTGATAAGTCATATTAGCTCGATGCATCTATGTATATAATCATTCTGGTCCATATAGCCATGGCACACATTCACCTCGACAAAAGTCCATAACAGATCAACATTTCTATTTTGTTGCTATGAATGTAGGAATCGTGATTGATGTGTGTGCACTTATTTTGTAATGATCCAGTTTTTCTGAGATATTTA